GCAACTGCCATGTGATTGGTTGATTAGATAATTGCATTAATGAGAAATTGAACAGGTGTTCCTAATAATCCTTTAGGTGAGTGTACAGGTGTCAGTCCAGAAGCTGTGTCTTTCCTGTAGGGTGGGGGTGGGAAGACAGATAGAGGCTGTGTCTAGTACAGTATGTAGTATCCATGTAACAATACTACTTTACACAGTTTCTTTCTCAACCTGCTGCTCTGTAGTTGGTAGAGGTGCACCGATCCGATATTCGGATGCGTGACCGATCCACGTCCTATACTTACTTAATTCGTTTTTGGCAATCTCTAAAAAGACAGCTCCTTTTTCATGTTAAATCTATTTGTACAATCAATCGCACGACAGCTCTTTCCCATTTTACATGTGTTTTTTGTGTCATTCAAATTGAACGCTAATGCTGCCCCTCAGTCTTTTTTGCTACTCAGTGGGTGTGAGTTCAGTGACTTCCGCCTGCTGAGACGTCATGCGCATACCCTTGGCAGTATGAGGCACGAGGAGCGTAAGATATAATTAAGACAGAAACCAGTAGCACAGCGATTTGCAACCTTTGTAAAATAAAGTTTTGAAGGGTGGGAATAGCGTTTAATGGACAATCCCACTTAACAAAGCAGAAAAAAAAACAATGGATGATTTGGGAGTAGATTTGGGAGTAAGCATTCATCACTTTGTGCATACTGCTTTTGAAGATATTCATATTGAACTGCAAATGCCTCAAAACGCTTAAAACAAGACGTACAAATGAGGTGGAACAGTACGTTATGTGTTTGTACTAGCTTAATTAAATATTTTTGTCATATATTTTTTCCACCTGTATATATATAATAGCTTAGAAAAATTAATATATAAAGTATAACAAAGTAAAAAGAGATCTTGTATCGGAATCAGATCGGAACTGAAAAAATGTGGATTGGCCCACCCCTAATAGTTGCAGAGCATGTACTTTTGCCACATGGCAAGACAAAATAAGCAAGACAAAATAAGTGAAATTAAATTGAAGTGATGTTTGTCGATGCCATCTTGAGTTTCAGCAATGTGATCACAAAGATTAAATATATCCTGGTCGAGAACCTGTATCTCCTTTCACAACCCTGTTCAGCAAAAGTCCGGCATCTTCGCTGGTACTGACCGTCAAAGAAGCGTGGTTGAATGAGCTTGGAAACCCGTCCCAATATGGCGAGAAGGATCCAGCTGCAGACGCCTGTAGAGTGGAGCTCCACAGGAAATACGTCACCTCCACAGGAAACACGTGGCCTCAACTCTGTGTCACAGCGAATAAACCCTAACCTTAACCTTTACCCTAACCCTAACTGGAGCTCCACTTTATGTCCTTAAAGATCACGTGTTTCCTGTGGAGGTGACGTATTTCCGGTGGAGCTCCACTCTACAGGCGTCTGCAGCTAGACCCTCTTGAATATGGTGGCGGTATTGACGCATGCTGAGAAGCTGAATGCGATATCTAGTGTTTATATCTATGTGTCTGTCTCAAGTCGTCTTGCTTTCGCGAGGATCTTGTACCATGTGACATGGTGACACGTGGTGACGTTTTGCAGCGCTGGACCAAAAAAATCTAACCATGATTTGGCATTTTTATTAAGTGTTTATGGTTTGATTTAGATACTTTTCTACCTCAGAATTTTTAAAAGTTTTTAAGAGACCAAGAATAGAGGAAGATACTTGTTGCAGTTAGTTCTGTCCTGCTTTATTTTATGTTTACCCTTTAACATATTTGCAATATTATTCAGTTTTGCACATTGTTACATTATTATATGGTTTTGTTCATTTGAGCTATATTTCTTTGACTACTTGAAAATCAATAACCTTTTATAATTTTAAGGGAATTTTGTATGTAAACATTCAAATTTGTTGGAAAATAAATATTTGTTTACTAATATTGTTTATTTCAATGTATTCATTCTATTTGTCAGAATAGGGTTATTTTAATTATTATTTTGATTATTACATTATTACATGGAACAGCATTGTGAAACTATGTGAAATATTGACAATTATCGATATCGGTCAATACAGGAAAAAATATTGTGATATTTCTTTTTGCCATATCGCCCAGCTCATCCTTTTGGCAATGTGCCAGCACCTATAACTGAGACCAGAATCATTAACAAGCAAATTAATTAAACAGGACCACAAAATGTGGTGTAGATGTACTTCAGTGAGAGTAATGAAAACCAAAGCATAGCGGATTGCCAACTTCACTGCATGTGCATAGAGCACAAGTAATGTAGTTAAACGTTTGAGAACTAAACATCAGAAAGGGTTTGGCGAAACCGCCACCAGCAGCACTCTGCAGCAAATACTAGCAGAGAGAGAGAAAATGTCAGACTATGACCCTTTTACAGGGAAGATAAAAGAAGCCAGTATATCCCAATATATCCTGACGACCAAGAATAATGTTGTTTTCGGTGAGATTTTTTCATACTTTAGGTTTTTTTAGCCTAAAAAAATGTGAGTTATCAGCTTGTTACCATGTACATGTGTGCTTGTGTGTATGTTAAAATATTGCATATTGAAATATTGCATCGCCCAGCCCTAATTCAGTATCAGTGAGTAGCACAAAGCAAGCATTGGTACTCAATCTGAAAAAAATGGTATCGATGTGTCCCTATTTATCACAGCATAACAATATTTAAAGTCTAGAGTACATGAGGAAAATGTTGGTAGAGAGATCAGAAATATATGGTCAATATTCAAGGTAATAAGCAAGCTCCTCATTAAATTATAACCCATGAAAGTTGAACGTGTTTTCTTCATAGGCTTGTACAATTTTTAATGAAACAAGTGGCACTTCCTGTTAAAAATTAACCATTGAAACTATCACATTTTATTGCTGGACATTGAGCCACACACGAGCCTTGTGACTCTTTTTCATTATGCCTGTGACATGCTTTTCAGGGGCTTGTGCGATAGACCAGGAGCATGCTCCTCTCCTGAGGCTCATTTAGACCATAATTAGTGACAGAGAACACGTTTGGTATAAATATCTACAGATGGAAAGGAGAGTAGGGCTCTTACCCAAGCCCAGTAGCTCTCCAGTCTTGGGGTTATTTTTTTGTTAGCACTTTTTGTCACAGACTCCCAGTGGCCATGTCTTGCCACTGAGATAATCAGCTAATGAAGGGGCCCCTCACATGCAAGGCAGACACGCACGGCATGCAGGCGCTGACTGATGTCACTTGTGGGCGGTAATCAGTCCCCTGGAGCACCGGCAAGAGAGCCTCTGTCTGAGGGACGAAGGAACTGTAGGAACAGTGGAGTGACTATCTGGCAGCATGAAGAGTCCAAGGAGGAGGTGCTGTTCAGTGCATAAGGATAATAGCATGAAGAGGGTCCGTGTTAACGATCAGGGGCACCTCGTTACATTGTTGCTGTAACGATCAGGGGCGCCACGTTACATTGTTGCTGTAACGATCAGGGGCACCTCGTTACATTGTTGCTGTAACGATCAGGGGCGCCACGTTACATTGTTGCTCTAACTATCAGGGGCGCCACGTTATATTGTTGCTGTACATCACTTGGCAATAATTCATCACATCACTCCAGGTCCAGTTCTTCAAAATGAGCAAGCGTATCCCATGTCGAAGTTTGGGAAACCTGTAGGCAGTGAGGGGTGATGAAAACCTGGGGAAGAGCATCTGGTGTGGGGAAGATCTGAAAGTTGGAACAACCAGTAGACTTTACTGAAGTTGTTTTGCGTCACTGGTAGCTACAAATAGCTAATAGCAGTAATTGGATGAAACAGACCAGAGGGTGTGCCGAAGCGCCCTTAGCACACCTGCTTCCGGCGCTACTGGGAAGGTCGCCTCAGGCGTGCCGCTAATGTCCCTCCTAAGGGGTACATGTCAGCAGTGAAGGTCTTCCCTACACCAAATGGCTCCTTTGTTGGTCTAACTTCATTGCCTCCTCTCTTCATCATCTCTCCTCTTCATCGTCTCGCCCTCATATTATAAGTGCTAAATATAACAAAGTTTGCCTGATAATTGCCGGCGTCCTTTGGAATCCGACAGTCTTTGCTACTTCTCATATTACGATCACCTGGTCAGTGACTGGTTAAGGCATTGCGCATGATATTGTCGTCATTTAATTATGAAGTAAACAGCAAAAGATAATAAACTAAGCAGCCAAGGAATCCATCAGCAATACAGAGAGCATAAAACAATTATTAGGAAACAGGTAAACATGATCCAAGCACGCGATTAAGATTTGGAGAAACTGTTCTGCATACTTGGCCTGAATGACACTCTTGTTTCTGCACAGCTGTTCATGTTTTTCAAGTGCATTGGTAATTAAGGCATTTTTTTGCCCTGCTCTTTATGTAGGAACTCTAGTAGTTCTGCTCCCAGCCGTTTCTTACAGGAAACTGACTTGTGGTTACGGAGATCTGCTCTCTAGTTGAGTTGTAATAAGTGTGAATCCTGTTCACCACAGGCTGCAATGGCAGCACATATCCCTGTAGCCCATATTGAGTTTTCAGCGTGTCTCTGCAGCCGGCCGCGCCGCTGCTGTCTCTCTCATGGCGCTGTCTGTCTGAGCTTGGCCGCTATGTCACCCCTCCCTTCCCCTCTCCCTCATCGCTTGTCGCTTTCTGATGCTCTCTCCTGCAACCTCTATTCTCTTCTCTTTCTGTTTCAGCAAAACTATAAAGATCAGAGTAATTGATGATGAGGAGTATGAAAAAAACAAGAACTTCTTCCTCGAGATCGGGGAACCTCGCCTGGTGGAGATGAGTGAGAGGAAAGGTGGGGTGTCTGCTGGCTCCACCTCCAACACATCCACAGCAGCTCTGGGCACACCAGCCCCTTGAAGGGAAGCCACAAGGAGGGGCGCCCCAGTACTGCACCCTAGTGGCGATTAAAATTCAATCATTGCTTGAAAAGCTGAATTTTGAAATTGGACAGTTGAGTTTCGGGGGATATAGATATTGCGGCATGTTCGGGGGACGCCGGTAATTTGGGAAAGAACTTGTGGCCCCTTCTTGTGCACGCAGAGGGGCTGGTGTTGACCTGCTGTGGCTCAGCTGGCGGTCATCATAACCTCCCCTCCCTCTCCAAAGAAGCATCAAGTGTCATCCATCCACCCTGGACCAAATAGGGTGGATTGTATGTGTGTGAGTGTGTTGGGGAGGACGCGTGTGCATACCTTTAACATGCATGATTCCAGCCCCCTGCTGAATCTGTCTTGTGTCCCCGCAGGAAGACCATAACCATTAATATTGTTGACCGTGAAGAGTATGATAAGCAATCCTCCTTCTACGTAGAGCTGCAGGAGCCAGTGTGGAAAAGGCGAGGATGGACAGGTGTGAGAGTGTGCAGGAGCAGGCCCCCCTTTCCCCGGCCCTCCCCGCTGTCTCTGTCACGCTCTTGACTCTCACACTGCCTCCTGCCTCTGTCTCTGGTCAGCCTTCCAAACCTCTGATTGGTGCCCAAAGTGAACCTCACACCCAGCAAAGCGGCCCGTTTGGCTGTAACACCAGCACTCAACATGGTGCCTGATAATATGCATCTCGCGGGGATTAGAGCCTCATGAATATCATCCACCACCCTTTGGCACCTCTGGTATCATCATCCAACAGCCTCCACCCCCCTACTGTCATGGTGTAACCCTGCACCGCGATAGCCCAGCCTCTTGTAGCTCACAGGACTGTTGGCCAGCCCTGATCCCAGCGTGCTTTAGGGAATATATTTTATTTAGAACTAGATCCATGCCCCGATGCAACTTTAATTATTACCCAGATAATCGGTTTACGAGATGAGAGTTAAGAGTCAGAGAACGGCAGCTTAATCTGTGGCCTACTGGGACTAGGGTTACCATGATAACCAGGGTTATCACGGTTACGTTACCGTGTGTAGTAATTCCAAGCAAATTATGTTTTTTATCTTCAATGACTGAGGACACAGGCATTTTGCACAACTCTTATTTATAGGTGTTTATTCAATGATATCTATACAAAAATAACTGTTTACAAACTAATTACATTTTCTAACGATAACAGGCCTGTGTACTTTTATCTATCAAAAACGTTTGAAGGATTTAAAGGATATTTGTATGAATACGAACACCTTACATTTTCAAGTTCAAAATCAAATTTGTGATAATATGACTTCTCAAAAAACGTCCTCAATGTGCTTATAGATAGTATTCCTAATTATTAATCTGAGCATTAATAGAGCAATCGCTTTTGTTATACGTACAGTAACAGATTCTTTCATTGTCATTGTCACTGCAGCGATTAAAATCTGCGGCCTTAGTGCCGTTAATCTTTAATGTCCCAGATGAATCCCTGGATCAAACAGCCCCTCTGTCATTTACAAACGATCAGGAAACCATAACATTTGGTTTTTAAACCTAGCCATCATTTTTCATTAATAAAACATACTAACTCCATCTGAGCCCTTTATGCTTGACTATATTCTTATCCATCGACACAGTTTTATGTTTTCTGAACCTGTAATATCTCCCCACATGTTTAATATTCGCTCCTGTGTTCCTGAGGCATTGTGTAACTGCCTGTGTTGTTCTGGTACTTGAACACGGCTCTAGGCAAATGCAGAGTGCAGAAGAGGTGGTGCTGAGCGTAGCCTTTGGCTCAGGCATCACCCGCAAATTATTACACCTTCGCTTTGTGTTTTACAAGCCGCTGGCCCTGGATCGATCCTTAATGTATCAGACAGCGAGCCTAAATCAGACTTCTTACTGGGTGAGGGGAGCATATTGAAGCAGCCCGACCCCCGAGTAAATGATAGCGAGCCCAGGGAGGGGACAACCACCAAGGATCCATGACGGGTGACCAAGAAGAGCAAACACAATGATCAGAGAGCACCTGTCTCAGAGAGCTCAGAGCTCTTTAGACAGCTAACAGCTTGTTTGACACCTGAAAGGCAAACGGCCAGCAGCTGCTGATCTCTGCGATTTGCCTTTTCCATCCGGATTTCTGCCAGATAACCCCAAACCTTAATAATTTCCCAGCAATTAAACCAAAGTAAGACTTGCCCAAAATGCCCTTAATGCTGTCTCAATACTGAACAGAGTCAAAAATCAAGATGCATCAATATGTGGCCATGAGCAATCTATACCAGGTTTTTGTAGTGTTAAAGATGACAGTAAAGATAAAAAATGAGGGGAGCTCAGACTGCTGGCTCACTACCCAATATGCAAGTCAATAACCCTTAATTAGAGTCTCTGAAGCAGCTCCGGTCTTTCTCACTGTCCTTGGTTCTGCTTTGTTTACGGTGCAGAGCGACCATACATTACAGAGTGAATGACAGAAAGCCATAACGCTCCAGGCAGACTTCCTGTCTTCTGTGTTTTTGTTCATTTTCTCATTCGTCTGTTCTTTATTTTCTGTGTTTCTTCATCTTCTGTGTTTGTCTCTCTCTTTCTTTGTCAGCCATACTGCTGAATGAGCATGGTAAGCCTCCTTGTCCTTTTTTCTGAGTTTCTGAGTTGCATTAATGGTACAAAGTCCTTTCTGCCATCTCTCATGTATGCTTCAGATTTTGCTGGTTCGATTACAGTTGCTTTGACTTTTGATCCAAGTCCAGTGAACAATGACACAGAATTATACAAATACTGCAGACATATGGATATGTTTGCATATATATATATATCTATCTATCTATATATATATATATATATATATATATATATATAGAATTGATGTGTTCCCTTTCTTGTTGGTTGAAATGGACAGTAATGCATCTTCATATCTGGCATGTCATATAATATACATATGTTTTCTGAATATTTAATAAAATGTCAAATTAATTACCAAAATGAAATGCCATAGAAATATACAGCTTAATGCTTCATCGAGTATATTATTTCTGGCATAACAGTTAACTTTAAACGTATTATAAAGCCTATTGTGAGTATATTTCTGTAATTACCAGGATATCCCAGAGAATAGTTTTATAAGACATTTTTATTTGTTTATGATTGTAGGTGGATTCGTAAAGACAGGTATGGAATCCCCTTCCTGAAAAAGATCACCTTGAATTTAATGTAAAATGCATTTTTGTATATTCCAAGTTTTTATTAACCTATGATTATTTCAATAGGACAACGTCTCTATGGTAAGACACATCAAATACATCAAAAACAACATCTTTGTTGTCAGCATAAACTGACTTTTGTAATGCAAAAACAAACTAACCGCACAGTATATAGCTAATAGTTGTTGCACCCTACCACTAATCAGGATAAGTTGTTTTGGCCCCCTTACTTGGATAACCTAGGCTACAGAACATTACCGGACAGATATTTTGTTTTGAACAATGTGTGAAATTATGCAAGATAGTAGATAGATTAGCAATAAATGCCAAAGACTCATTATTACAAGGCACACTAGTGCCCCAAATATTTCTCGGAGATGTTTTACTGATGTTGCTGTTTCCTTACTGAATGACCTGCACCACAGAGAAGATCATCTCCATCTCGACTAACACAAAGGAACTGCTTTCCTGTGGAGTCATCAGGTCTTTTCTGAAGGAGGCCAAAATTGCTTTCACATTATTAACACTCTCCTACCATTTGTGTTTGTTTCAGTAATTAATTTCTTTTGGAAATGTTTCCCTGCCAAGGCCAAAGCTAATTTAAAACTCTAGTGTTGCGCACAATTTGTATAAAGTGATTTCTATCTCATTTGGAACATCATCTCAGCATTTCCAAAGCACCATGTAAGGTCCGGACTTCAGCCAGCTTGCAAGATACAATCACAGTCACATAAAACCTCAGCAGTGCCAAATAGCATTACATGAATCAGGAGTACCACTGTTAGTTATGCTTCTCATTAAATATTTCTCCTTCCACCTTTCATATCCATGGCTCCCAAAATGGATGTTTTGCCTGCCCCCTTAATTAAGTAATAAGTTACCTAGATAAAGTACCCATCCCAAGGGAAGCCACATTAAAGCACAACACCTCATAGCAAATCCTTGTTTGGACCTCCTGTCCAAGAGCCATGCATGCCAGATTTAATCTTTAAAGAAGCATGAGATTTTTTTTTTAATCAAGACTTACATCTGGATTTAAATTACCGTTCCACTGAACTCTCTGTTGCTGGTTGTTGTTCACGAGTTGCTAACTAACAGCTCTGATCAGATAGAGGAGGTGTTTCTTACCTCGCGTCTGCTTTCTGTGAGCTTTTTGAAGGGTGCTGTTATTACTGAGTGCATCTTTGAACTGTTTTCAAAGTCGACTTTGGCTGTGCACCACCCCTAACATCCAAAAATAAATGACCGTCCTTCTCCCTTCCACCTTAACCCAATTGCAAACCATGCCATGAGTTTCTCCTAATGGTTATCGCTCTGTTAGGCCGGGACGTCTACAGGAAAGTGCAGGGTAGAGACAATCCCATCCCGTCCACGGTAGTCCACATCACAGGTATCGCTTTCTCTTCTTGTCACACGGACTGTCTGCATGGTCATTAACATGCCGCCGTAAGTCGACTTGCGTGGAATGGAGTGTTCTGGAAATGGCGGTGGGTGTGTTGTTTATTCACGGTCTTATGTGTTGGATCCACTTCCTATTCACTGCTAATCGCAAGGTGACGGCATGCGTGTCATTGGATCACTTTCCACACATCGATATTATCTGGTGTCCACCTGCACGGCCCCTGGTCTGGCCCCGCCCCAAGGAGGGGTTTGTCTCCTCCTTCTGTCCTTCCCCAAATCACCTGTACTGCTGTGCATCCCTTCCACACTGTGCCCCCCCCCCCCCCTACACACACATCCCAGTGTATCACTTAAGCTGGAATGCTTAGGTCTCTTTGAGCTCTTTGAAAGAAGTCCTGTTTCGCAGAAGGACAACCATATTCCATGACATCACCGATAAAGCAGGTAGAGGGCAGTTCAGCGTCGGCGGTGGGCATGCTTACATGTGTTAAGGGGCGGAGCTCTATGGCATGTCATCCCCAAAGTAAATGTTTGCTAACTGCTGTTAGCCTGAACCTCTGTCACATAAATACATTTGAAGGTGTTTTTATTATTTAAATTATAAATTATTTTATTATTTATGTTATTGTTAAAAACACCGACCTTTGATTTATAGCATTCCTCTTCAGCAATATAAATACAGAAGAAAATATTAAAACAGCTTCATTAGTTAAAGGCAGCACAGAATTTAGACTTTTCATTTATGTAAAATTATTCCTTGTATTAACCATGGAATCAATCAAAACCCATATATTTTACCAACAGAAAAGCAAACAGAAACCTCACAAAAATGTGAGGAAACACTTTCAAAAACTCCTTCTATACCAGCACAAACTGGAACTGAGGCCCCTATGTGAAGCTGCCTGCTGAATGAATGGCAAGACCAGTGTAAGAAGGCACTTGGAAATCAACAGGGTGAAGGCCCAGCCAAGGTGCCACTCTTTCTGAAGGCCTCCCCTTCAAAAGCAAATGATCCACCAGCCCTGGAATGGTGTGGAAATATTTATGCTGTACCGTATCCCCAAATACATCTTCAGATAATTAAATGAATTATCTGATTAGCTGGAGAAATCCTGCTAACAAAGGCTCACGAAGGCTTTAAAGTATTCACTCACACTAGCGAGCTGAGAAACCGTACACAGAACTAATAGATTTTCCCTTTTGGTTCATATAGAAACCAGAAAGAATTACTCAGCTGCTGTAAATTGGAAATTTCCCACAATGCTCTGTATGGAGAAGGCCAAAGTTATTTAGTGAATTTCAAAGAATTTGCAGCTTAAAAACAATAACAATAAGCCAGGTCAAAGATGTAAGACTTTATATTATTCCTTCCCAAATGCTTGGAGATAAGGTTTGTATCCCAGTTATTATTATTACTGTCTAGTTGCATAAAGTGTGGAGCTTGACAGATGGATTTCAAGGTGTCCAAAGTTGTGCTTCCAATGAGGCACTTTCCTCTTAGAATATCTGTCTTTGAAAGAGCCTTGGAGTTCATACATACGTATGGGGCTCGTGTGGCTTTTAAACCTCACAGTTGCCGGTGGAATATCACGTCCTCCACAGATGTTATGGGAAGATAAAGACTGAATTCCACACAGGCCTCCTGGTTCTTTTGCTGTATCTACTGGAAATTGCAGTGAAAGCTCAGGGTCTGATAAACTGGCCTGCTCTGCTCTGTTCTGGATCACGCCACCCGCTGGTCTCTGGCTGCATTGTGAATGTGTGCAGGAAGGTCATATCAGCATGGAAACAGCTCGGACGCCTCTCAGGAGAGCCTGTTTTACAGGGGAAGGGGAGAGTGAGGAGAGTCCTACCGGAAAGGAGGAGGAGGAGCGACGGGTGGCCGAGATGGGCCGACCCGTGCTAGGGGAGCACCCCAAGCTGGAGGTCATCATCGAGGAGTCCTATGAGTTTAAGGTATCGTTTCCGTCTCACCTTTCCACATTTCTTTCCAGAAACTTCTTCTCTCATGGAAACCCCTTGAGCTGTTAAATTAAAAGGGCAGCAGGTACACCTGAAAGCCCAGAGTGCAGCAGTGTGGTGACAGGCCTGATCTCCTCCAGCTGTCTTTACCAGGAGCTTGGCTGGTGTGGCAGAGGATTGGCACTGCCTGGGTTTTGCTGAAGCGTCAGTTTGCGTTTACAGCGTCCTGCTCACAGCTGTCGGCCTCGGCTGAAAAGCCAGCACTCGGAATCCAAATCCCCCGTAATGAACCGTGGCAAATTACCTACCACCGAAAAGTGACTATGAGGTTCTGCTCAGTCCATATGGCACCTTGATGACCGTAATCCATAGATCCCAATAACTGTATGAAGGCAGTAACTGCCACAAGGCAACTAATAGATCTCCAATGAAGACTTCAAGCACTTTGGAATTGGTTTTGATGGATATCTGTTATTCTCCAGCCTAATATTGGTGTTTCGTGATGCCATCAGGAAGCAGACACAAAGAAATAATTAAGACATTGAGATTTTGTCAATAATAATTTGTGTCCTCCTCCCTTCCGTCCGGGCTGTTTCGATTGGGTGTTATATGGCCATTTTCTGAATTGACTATGTGTTTAAGGAGATCGATCTTGAATGTTTCCAGTGTTGGCACTCTTTTCAGGGACTGACCTTCCAGCTCAGTGGAGTGGATGATTTACTGAAGTGCACAATATCAGCCGTCTGTGATGTTTTCTGGCATTTGTACCAATGCTTCTGTCAATGACTGAAGTAGTTTTTTGGTATAATTTACATGAGAAAGTCTTCTTTGTTCCAACTCCAACTCTCTCCGAAGAACACGGTGGACAAGCTGATCAAGAAGACGAACCTGGCCCTGTTGGTGGGAACAAACAGCTGGAGGGATCAATTCGTTGAAGCCATCACCGTCAGTGCTGGTAAGAAGACACACTTTGGCCCTGAGGCAGTATTTTGGAGCTGGGAGGGAGCAAAAATGTGGACCAGAGGACCAGTTTGAGAAAAATTGCCCAAAAAAAGGTTGAATAGTTAAGGGTTTAGGGGTGAGGGACCTTAAATGGTGTAAGTATAATCAAGCTCATCAGCCATAATTTAATGGCAAAGACTTATTTTACAGACACTGTTATTTTCATCGCTGTAAATTTTCATCACAGGACACAGAATGCTAATATTAGTGGTGTCTTAGAAGATAATTCATCTACTTTGTTTTCATCTACAATCTCAGTATATCTCACACTGATTTTGTAACATTAAAGTGCACATTGATGTCAGCTGAGAGAATAAAGTGTTGTCCTGAGTCAAGGCGTGTGTGTCTGCGCGTGCGTGGTTGACTGAAACACAAATGAAAGCATGACCCTGCAAGCTTTTATATTGCATATGAAATGGCCTGTTTTGTTTGGAGCAATTACATCAGTATGCCTGTAATCTGTAAGGATACTGTAATTCAGGACTGCTCTTGGTCTTGGAAAGAATGTGAGACAATATCTCTGCTTCTTCAGTTTTCCTTTTCTGACACTGCGGTCAAGTTTCTGCATTCTTACTGTTATATGTAGTAAGGCTGCACGTTGTGTTTTCTTACAGAACTAATGAGATTGGTCCTCATAGGAGTTTAGTTATGTACTGGTGGAGTTTCTGTATTCCTACTGAAAGTAACTATAATCGAGGAAGTAGGATTTAAAAGAAGGGGAAGAGAAGATGGCGGTGCTGAAGATGCAGGTCTGTGGCCGTGTGGTGAGCTACGAGAAGATGGCAGTGCTGGAGGTGCTGGTCTGTGGCTGTGTTGTTGGGGTACGATAACATGGCAGTGCTGGAGGCACAGGTCTGCGGCTGTGTTGTTGGGGTACGATAAGATGGCAGTGCTGGAGGCACAGGTCTGTGGCTGTGTGGTTGGGGTACGAGAGGATGGCAGTGCTGGAGGCACAGGTCTGCGGCTGTGTTGTTGGGGTACGATAAGATGGCAGTGCTGGAGGCACAGGTCTATGGCTGTGTGGTTGGGGTACGATAAGATGGCAGTGCTGGAGGCACAGGTCTGCGGCTGTGTTGTTGGGGTACGATAAGATGGCAGTGCTGGAGGCACAGGTCTGTGGCTGTGTGGTTGGGGTACGAGAGGATGGCAGTGCTGGAGGCACAGGTCTGCGGCTGTGTTGTTGGGGTACGATAAGATGGCGGTGCTGAAGGGGGCCTCATTTGTGTCCTTGGTTATAGACATTAACAGTGCTGTGCTTGATGTTTCATAAGTTGCTGAAGGATCTCACCTTTTCAGCCATCCGTCTTAGTCAATCATACAGGCACATCCTGCTGCACATAACATTAAAGGGGAGATTTTAAAAGGGCATTCTCTCAAGCTGCAATTAGGTGATTCAAAGTGTTAAAGAGATTAGTGTGTCACTCATACAACTTTCCTGTGATATAAAAAAATAATAATAATTACTGCCATAGGACTCAGAGTCTGAAGTAGGATTCTGTACTTGGAAAAGCTCTATTAAGGGCTTAAAATACAGAAAAGTCTGGTTATTACAGGTGAGGTTGGCACAGTGATGCGGAGGATGATGATTACAGGCAAGAGGAAATGGACACACTTTTAGAGACTGCTGAAAAACAAGAGAGCCAAGCTTATTAATGAAGCTGAGGTGCTGGGAGCCTGTGTAGGTCTGCAGGGTGAAGCCGGCACCCTGCTGTGGGGAGGCGCTTTTTATCGCTTATGAACGCGGCAGAGACACATTCTTTCATTGGCCGTGCCAGACTCACCTACATACAGCAGGCTAGAAATGCTGAGCAGTTTTTCCTTTGCATATTCAATTGAGAAAGAGACAATGTTGCATAATAATTAAAATTTACCATTTCCTCCAACCTTTTGGGTGTCTTTTACCTTTTTTTCAGCTCTGAATTTAAGAAGTGAACTAAGCAGAGTCACCGGCCCGCAGGCGTCATAAAGATAAAACAGGGGGCCTGATTAGGGGAGAATGATGAGAGGAGCCTGCAGTCACAGTCACAGCCGTACTTAATCGATTGTGTGACTGAGAGCAGCTGACACAAGCTCACACAACCCAGTGATCTGAATGAGGAACACAGTTTATGCCGAACCAACAAAAACACAATGTCCTTTACTATGCAAACTGCAGAACATATTTAAAATCTGCACATGTTAGCGTGCCACTAGCCCTCTTTTCCACCCCTGTCCCAGGCAGAGGTGGACATTTCAGGTCCAGAAAGTAAAAATCCAAGCCAGGATTTCATTTCAACCAACCAGTTGAGCATAAAGAGTCACAGTCACAGAGTACTCAACTGGTTGGTTGACATGAAATCCTGGTTTGGATTTTTACTTTCTGGACCTGAAATGTCCACCTCTGGTCCCAGGCAGCACAGGGCACAATGTTGCACTTCACTGGATAGAATGCCGGTTCTTTATAGGGCACACACAAGTTATGGGCAATTTCAACACGCCCAGTTATCTTAAATGCATATCTTTGAACTGTGAAGCCCAGAGAAAACTGGCACAACACATGGGGAACATGCAAACTTCATAAGCACACATGGAACTCGAACCCAACCCCTGGAGATGTGAGGTGATGATGCTCCTCACTGAACCACTGTGCCACCCGCCACTGCTAGCAGACATAATCATTTGCAATCCAAGTTGTCCTCTGGCATCCTGTGGTCCTCCTGTTTTCAGTTTTCAGATCCTCTCAGTCGTGTGTGGAGTTTAAGTCAAGGGAGGTGATGTTACACTTATATAATTCCTTGGTAAGACCCCACCTAGAATACTGTGTGCAGGTTTGGTCACCATACCTCAAGAAAGACATTGCTGCCTTAGAAAAGGTGCAACGAAGAGCTACGAGAACGATTCCTGGTCTTAGAGGAATGTCTTATGAGGAGAGGTTAGCGGAACTGAATCTGTTTAGCAAAGGAGACTAAGGGGGGATATGATTCAGGTCTATAAGATTCTAACGGGTCTGGATCCTGTTCAGCCAAATGACTATTTCAATATTAGTCTAAATACTAGAACTCGTGGCCGTAAGTGGAAATTAGCGGGAGAACATTTTAAAACAAATTTGAGGAAGCACTTCTTTACACAGCGTGTAGTTAGAGTATGGAATAGTCTTCCTGCTAGTGTAGTGGAAGCTAAAACCATGGGTTCCTTTAAAGCAGAGCTAGATAAGATTTTAACAACTCTGAGCTATTAGTTAAGTTCTCCTCAAACAAGCTTGATGGGCCGAATGGCCTCCTCTCGTTTGTAAATTTCTTATGTTCTTATGTTTATCCTTCTGTCTTTCATCTTCCTCCATTTATCCTCCTTTCTGGTTCTAAAGCGCTAGCTGCAATCTAATGAGGAAATGCCAGAGACCAGCAACGCGCCGCAAACCCACCAAAAGAAGTTATTGACGTCTGTCATGCAGCGCCAGTTGTGTAGACCGCTTTGACCAGTAAAATGCCACCCCAGACAACGAAAAGGCTGACATCAATCTAATAAAGCACTTGCAGCTTGCTGCTGTCATTCCTCAGGAGGCTGACAGGGGGCAGCATGTGGCTCAGTAGGTTAGGAGGCTGTGTCCATGAGCAGAAGGTCACTGGTGTGAATCCCATGGTCAGAAAAGCTGTCTTCTCAAAAAATGTGTGTCATTTTGTATAAAAGCATCTGCCAAATAAATAAAATGTAAGTTGGGGGGGGATGCATCCTGCAAAGTAGAGTGCTATTCCACTACAATGTGTAATATGGCAAAGCTACATGGAGCTCTGAGTTTGCTATGATTTAATACTTCTCCATTTTTATCCCATCCTGTACCTCTTTACTTGGCAGCAGTTCTGATCTTTTCATCAGTTGTGTACCCTGGTTTATGTGATATACAGTATTGTCCTTAACTAGTGCCATTTTTATCAAATATTCATGGAAATTTAAGGAAGCACGCACAGGATCGGCTATAATTAAAATGGGTAGAGCGATTGCTGATGTCTGATAATAGATGTTTACGCTTGATGAGAAACAATGTCATTAGCAGCCAGTCAATCTGCAGGTTGATCTTTCAGTGTACGGTAAAAACAATCCCAGAATCCCCCAGTGCTGCACCTGGAATAACAAATAATAAAGCTAATATAATGAAATGCAGGGATTACTGGGGAGCCGGTGCGAGGCAGCCGCTGTCGTGCTGATTGGAACACGGTCTGCTTGGCGGCCTGCTTGACACGGGGTGGTAGGCCTCATTAGCGCTCTGGGAATTGCTGAATGCGTTATTCACGCCCGACACCCACTCCTCATTATCCATGAAAAGGTCGCGTCTGTAATGCGGCCCCGCAGCCGGAACTCAGGGTGTCTTCCGGAAAGTTTGGCCTCCGCACGGCAGCTGGCGCTGTCAGAAGTTGCCGCCGCAGCACTTTCTCCCGGCGGCCTTCCTGCTTTCGGCCCAACCGTCACGCTGACGCAAACCAGATTGAGACTTGAGACTTCCTCCCTGCTGTCCACACCAGCCTGAGAGCTCAACCCCAAACTGGGGGCCTCTGGCACTCGCTCGCCTTCATAAGGGACAGACCATGGCCTCCAAGAATCATTCCTGCCTGAAAATGGATTTATCTGTTAGCTATTTTCAAGCGCTGAGCATTACAGCAGTGCCGATTAGCCGAAACATCGCTCTCTGTCATGTGATAAGAGCCACTTTTCTCTGATTTAGATTTTCAACGGTCAGCCAACAGATGTGAAGGCCAAGGAGGTGGGCAGATCCAACACTTCCTGTTATAACCGCCGACACGGAGAGCTGGGAGAGTGGAGTAATGACCACTGCTCCCTCTCATGGGTGGGAGTCGATTCCTCAGTACAGTAGCAGAGTTGCCAAGGTTGAGCCGGGCGAATGAAGGAGTTTTGCGATCACAATAAATCAGATTTGTTTCGTGTTCAGAGTGATGCACCGGTTTAGCTCAGTGGAGATGGCCAGCAGGATACTGAATCACTTTTTATCTTGGTCTTTTCCGAACCTCTTGATGTTCCGTAAGAATCCAGCCAGACGTAAATGACGTGGGGAAATTTCCCTGCCACTCATGGAGCTTAATAATAATAAATAATAATAATAATAATAATTTCTAAGGTTGAATTGGTTAAAATTCTTAATATGCATGTTTTCTAGAGCAGGGGTTCCCAGAAATGCTAGAGTTTGTCCATTTCTAAAAATAAACTACATTTTTTCAAGCCAGGCCTCTCATATGACCCCTAACGTTCGCATTTTCTGATCACATGCCGCCCTATAATTGACCCCTTGGCTGGCCATGTTTTACGTCCAGCACGCCTCACCCCTACCACCCCTAGAGCCAACAATAGTTAGCAGTTAACAAACAAGTTATTTATAACAATCGTGTGTAATTATCTGGTCCGTATGATGTTTGCAGTATTGTGGGGAACAGTGACAGACCCATATCAAAATGTATCATAAACCAAATGGCAATTAGATTTTCCCTCAGAAAAATTGTGAGTCCATTGAATTCTCAGTTCAAAATACCACACAGTAGTAAATACTTCCAGCAGGACAGTCTGCTAAGTTGTACGCTCTGCATTTGTGATGGCCCAAGGCCAAAGAGCTTATTACAGCCCCACCACAAATGAGTTTATGTCCTGATTTGTTTCTGTAATGACCTGCTGATTTAATCTAGGTGCACAGGGGTTTGTCCAGCGAGCAGAGCAGGCCATCTGCCTTTCTCTGTAGTGAGTGCTGATCTCACTGTGAATGTCATGCTCCTCACATGGTCTGCTGTATGCCTCAGTATTTACATCATATACAGTATACAAACAGGTTACTGGATGGAGCATGTAAGTCAGTGTGAAAGAGATGACCCCAGGTTAATCACGGTGAATATGCCACCTGCCCTCTCTCAGAAAGGAAACTGCGTCTCCTTGGGGTTGGGGTGGCCGAGCATCTAAGGTGCTGCCTTCATGACCTCTGGCTTCCCTGGAGGTGTAGCTTCAAGTCCCACTTTTGACAGGTCATGATCTTTGTGGCCAGTTTGAGACTTTGAGACTGAGCCTCTTTTCCTGCAATCGGAAGTTTGCTAGTTCAAATCCCGTTTTCAGCAAATTCCGAACGTCTCCTCTGGGCCCATCAGCAAGGCTCTTATGATCTGAAAAATGCTGCAGGGTAATCAGATAAATAGCCAACCCCAATCTTCGCTTTCTTCTATGTCTCAATGGAGAGTGAGATGGCATATGTGAAACAGAAAGCATTCCAATGTGCCTGTATAAATGGGCAAAAGGTTTCATAACCATGTGCACGGCAGCCAAGCATAAGAAAATGGTGTGATGTTAAAATGTCTATTTGATATTGAGTAGCTACTGTATCTGCACTTGGAGATAAATGCACTTGGGCTATCTCAGTAATCGCCCTGGGTTTTCCATACTCCTGTGATTGTCTTTCTAAGTATGTTGCTGAGAGACTCCAGCTCAGGCCACTGCAGAGACCCAGAGCAAACTAACTGTGATTTATATGGAATCACAGAAAGCCTATGAGTGCCGCTCATCCCCCAACCCCCCCCCCCCCCCCCCCCATTGATGGGGGTGCAAATGAGCAGGGCTGATAGCATATAAATGGATGTGAAGTACATACGGTGTGGTGGAGCAAAGTCATAATACAGGAGCATAAAGGAAGATTTCAATGGCCAGTTTGGCAAGTCCTAAATGGACTTTCCGTAAATGGCATTATGATATAAGCGAGCCATTGGTAGACAGCTAAAGCACTAGGAACACAGCCATCGCAAAGCCACAGTTATGCTCTGCATTAACTGGAGGTAAAATGCAGACGCGTACTTTGACTGTGCACAAGCAGATAGCCACGCCCAGTGTTTCACTACACCACTGACACACAGCACAGAGTCCTCCTGAGGTCCCCGGAGCGTCTGTCCATTTGGTCCCCACAATGTGATGGGCCACACTCACAGACACCCTGAAGAACCAAAACAATAAGAGCACTTTAACGAGTTGGATGCGGGAGAAATGGACAAGCATAAGATCTGAGTGACTCTGACAAAGAACAAATTGTCTTGGTCAGTCCTGGGTATTAAACGGCAAGGCTTGCATGGTGCTCCAGGCCAGCGGCAGTGAACTGACAGAGTTCCGAGGAGGGACAAACCACAAACAGGCAACAGATTCTCAAGGTCCCATCTGGTACGGAGAGACAGCAGGGCTCCTGTGGCATGACTGGTGGAAAATGTTAATGCTGCGCAAGAAATGACTGTGTCACGACACACAGGGCATTGCACCCTGCTGCTTATGCTGCTGCGTAGCCATAGACTCATCAGAGTGCCCATGCTGACCCCCTCCACCAGCAAAAGAGCCTGCCTTGGGCACGTGATCATTGGCATTGGACCTTATACCAGTGGAAGAAGGTCACCTGGTCCAATGAGTCCTGTTTCCCATTTACATCATGTGGACAGACGGCTACATATGTGCTGGTTTCTCAGAGAAGAGATGGCACGAGGATGCACTATGCGAAGCTGGTGAAGGGAGTGACACTCTGAGTAATGTTCTGCTAGGAAACCATGCCTCCAGTCTTTCATGTGAGGGAACTTTGACACATTACACCAACTGCAACATCCTTGCACACCATGTACACCCCTTCATGGCAGCGGTACTCCCCGATGGCAGTGGCCTCTTTCAGCAGCATAATATGCCCTGCCACACTGCACGAGCTATTCCAGTTTGCTTTGCAGAACATGATGAAGAGTCACCCTGTTCACTATAGTCCCCAGATCCGAATCCTACTGAGCATCTCTCAGATCTGTTGGAACAGCCAGTGTGATTCACAGGGGCTCCACCTCACAACTTAGGGGACTTAAAGGATCTGCTGCACTTTGGTGCCAAATACCACAGGACACTTTCAAAGGTCTTCTTAAATCCATGCGGCACACAGAAGACCAGCAGCATATTAGGCAGGTGGTTATGTTCTGATGTTTTATGAGCCACATCATCACGAGAGTAATGTGTCCCTAAACACAGTCCATGGAGCCCTGCTGAGAATAGAGCTACATATATAGGGCTACATAGCCGTGAATCAGACTTGTTGGTCGAATGGGTTTCACAGATCCTCAAAACATAACCAGCGATCCACATGATATAACAGAAAAGTGGGTACCATTGGACCAGGCAACTTTCTTCATTTGCTCCAAGAGCTTAGGGTCTACTTCTGACACTTGCCTGCCCATTCTGTGTGCTTTCAATGGTGGATTGGGGTCTGCATGGGCACTCAGCAATAATCTGTTCAGATACATTTCCTGCATGTTTGTCTGGAGTTGAACATAATTGCAGTGTATTTTCAGCAAAGTACTGTATAATGTGATTGAATATGTGATCAAATTGCAATGCAATTCTAGATGGTATAGCCTACTACACACCTAGCCTATATGTTATGGCCTAAATAATGATCAATATATCAATTTATGAACTCAATTTATGCAATTAATCGCAATTAAGAATAATGACAGCCTTAATAAAAAATTATGTTCTGAGATTCTACTATTTTAAAATGTTTTAATAATCTGTAGCTGTACATTTTTTCAGTGAAGTTTAGATTATCTAAATATTCGAGCTGCAGCATTAAACTTTATGAGTTTGTTTTGTGTTCTTGATGACAATGGATTTATTTTTGCTACATGTGGCTCAGTGGGCTAAGCCTGTGTGCCCACTACGGGTGGCAGCCCTTCATGGACAGCTTACTCTACAAGAGCAAGTTGAGGAATGCATAAAAACAATTTCCCCATGGGGATCAACAAAGTACCAATATAATAATATAGTATAATAATATATAGATTTCAGTTTGGATAAATCCCAGTCAGATTTCATTGCTAATTTCAGGGAGGTATCTACAGTATAAGAAGACTGCAGTGACTGTGAAGTAGAAGTCATGTTCAGATAATCCTGTAGCGGGGCTGCCAACTATCACACGCCTGGCGTGACACTCACACTCTCAGACTCTCAAGCTCACACTAGATATCTTACGGCAAATCTACTGTATATCCTCCTGAGACCCAAGGAAAAAAGTGTCCTTCAATTTTAGGTTATTTGTCTTTGGAGGAAATAAGACATCTTACAATTTAGATTTTTTCAAATTTATTTTTAATTTCACAGCATATCCTCTTTAGTGTACAACAGGAATAAATACATTTCCTTACATCAGTGAGAAGATGTCAAAACAAAAATGTTCACTACAATGGACATAAATGTATGGGTGGGGTCTCAGGAGGATATTACTCCATTATAAACCTAAAATTGGCTACATCAAAAGCATTGGGCCTGTTTACAAACCCTACAGACTATTAACAAGATAATTAAACTGTTACATGCATGTAAATGGGAGTGCTGATTAGTCTTGAATTGAGAACCTCAGGCCAGCCAGCAGACCAAGGTTGGCAGCCCTGCTGTAGAAGCTGGGTGACAGAGGTCACAGACCATAAGAAGCACAAACAGCTTGGTACGTCCGGCCCAGTCAGTAGTTTCAGTGACGATCCCAGCCTGGAAGGGTCTTTATTCACCAAGTCAAACGGAAGCTCCATCCCAATTCTCTTTGTCTGGATTTTCTGGACCCAAATACACAGCAAAATGTCATCCAGTTGATTTTTCTTGTGGGAGGCATGTGATCCTGCTTTCTCAGTAGTATGTAGCTTTGGATGTAAGTGTGTAATAGCTTATTGCCTTGGAAATTGTTACATTGTTTCATTAATTATTTTCTTTTTAGGTGATATCTCTCAGTGCTGCAGTGACCCAGCGTTATATGCTTTGGCGTAGCCATGTTGGGGTGGGTTGGGGCGGTGGGATATATCGTACAGCTGTTGAATCCAGCTGATATGCTGCTTCTGTCCTCTGGCCTTCAGGGGAAGATGATGACGACGAAGAATGTGGCGAGGAGAAGCTGCCCTCCTGCTTTGACTACGTCGCGCACTTCCTGACCGTATTCTGGAAGGTCCTGTTTGCCTTCGTGCCGCCTACGGACTACTGGAATGGCTGGGCTTGCTTCGTGGTGTCCATCCTCATGATCGGCCTGCTGACAGCCTTCATTGGTGACCTGGCCTCACATTTTGGCTGCACCATCGGCCTGAAGGACTCCGTCACCGCCGTGGTCTTCGTTGCCCTGGGGACGTCCGTTCCTGGTGAGAAGCCCCCCCCCCCCCCAGCCTGGTGTCCATCATGATGGCTAGATGTTCATATTCTGCCTTCGCTCGCACTTGCGGTCAACACACTGGAACAGGGGTTTTGTCATCCATCAGAATATCCTACCTGGGGGGATTGCACATGGGATAACGGTCAACTAAGTAATAGATCTACATTTGAAATCCTCGCCCACAATTTTATGCTACCCCAATAATGTCCTATGCTGTTATGTAATAGATCCAAATCTGAAACAGGCACCCATAATTTTGTGCTGCCCTATATTCAATTCAGTTCAATTTAATCCAATTTTATTTCTATAACACTTTTTTACAACACCTCTCCTTTAGCCAACACTTTATCGTGGTGGGGCCTGATGGCGAGCACCTGGTGGCCAGGCCTGCACCCATGGGGCCTGGTCGGGCACAGCCTGAACAAGGCACGTGGGCCCCCCCTCCAATGCGCTCACCTCTCATAGGACGGGTCATAGGGGTGGGGCACAGTGAGAGTTGGGCAGTAGCCAAAGGCAGGGACCTTAGTGGTCCTATCCTCGGCTGCAGAAGCTAGCTCTAGGGACATGGAATATAACCTCTCTGACGGGGAAGGAGCCTGAGCTGCTGCACGAAGTTGTGAAGTTCTGACTAGATATAGTCGGGCTCACCTCAATGCACGGCTTGGGCTCTGGAACCAGTCTCCTTGAGGGGGGTTGGACTCTCCTCCACTCTGGAGTTGCTCTCGGGGAAAGGCACCGAGCTGGGGTGGGTATACTTATTGCCCCCTGGCTGGGTGCCTGTACATTGGGGTTTACCGCAGTGGATGAGAGGGTAGCCTCCCTTTGCCTTTGGGTGGGGGGACGGGTCCTGACTGTTGTTTGCGCTTATGCGCCCAGCGGCAGTTCAGAATACCAACCCTTTTTGGAGTCCTTGGAAGGGGTGTTGGAGAGCACTCCTCCTGGGAACTCTCTTGTTCTGCTGGGGGACTTCAATGCTCACATGGGCAATGACAGTGAGACCTGGAGTGGGGTGACTGGGAGGAATGGCCCGCTGATTTGAACCCGAGCAGTGTTTTGGTATTGGACTTCTGTGCTCATCACGGATTGTCCATAATGAACACCATGTTCAAGCATAAGGGTGTCCATAAGTGCACTTGGCACCAGGACACCCTAGGCCACAGTTCCATGATCAACTTTGTAGTCGTGTCATCAGACTTGCGGCTGCATGTCTTGGACACTCAGGTGAAGAGAGGGGTGGAGCTGTCAACTGATCACTACCTGGTGGTGGGTTGGCTCTGCTGATGGGGGAGGAAGCCGGCCAGGCCTGGCAGGCTTAAGCATATAGTGAGGGTCTGCTGGGAACACCTGGCGGAATCCCCTGTCAGGAGGAGCTTCTACCGCTGGCAGAACTTCTCCCATGTCCTGGGGGAGGCGGGGGACATTGAGTCCGAATGGGCCATGTTCCATGCCTCCATTGTGGAAGCGGCTGACCGGAGCTGTGGCCGTAAGGTGGTCGGTGTCTGTCGCGGCGGCAATCCCCGAACCTACTGGTGGACACCAGTGGTGAGGGATGCCGTCAAGCTGAAGAAGGAGTCCTATCAAGAATTTTTGGCCTGTGGGACTCCAGAGGCAGCTGAAGGGTACTGGTGGGCTAAGCAGAATGGACACAAGGACAAGAACAATTTCCAAAAGACAAGAAGAGTTTTATAGAACATTTGCTTAACTAATGAACATGAAAGTAAGGTTAAAAATATAACTTAGATTACAAAATCTTCAACTCAAATAAGGTGATGCAAAAATGAATACGTCCCACAACAAAAACTACTACATCTAGTATTTTGTATGATCCCCATGATTTTTAAGGACAGCACCAAGTCTTCTATGCATGGAATGAACAAGTTGGCGACATATTGCAACATCTGTTTTTTTCCAGTCTTCAAGAATAATTTCTTTTAGAGCCTGGATGCTGGATGGAGAGTGACACTCTTCAGAATTCCCCATAGACGTCCAATTGGGTTCAGATCAGGAGACATACTTGGCCACTGAATAACTTTCACCCTGTCCTTCTTCAGAAATGCAACAGTGGCCTTAGCTGTGTGTTTTGGATCATTGTCATGTTGGAAAAGTGCACGATGACCAAGGGCATGGAGTGATGGTAGCATCTTCTCTTTCAATATAGAGCAGTACCTCTGTGAATTCATGATACCATCAATTAAATGCAGCTCCCAGACACCAGTAACACCCATGCAGCCCCACATAAGGACCCTGCCGCCACCATGTTTCACTGTAGGCACCATGCAATCATCTTTGTACTCCTCACCTTTGCGTTGCCATACAGTTTTGAAGCCATCAGTTCCAGAAACATTTACCTTGGTCTCGTCACTTCAGAGTATAGAGTCTCAGTAGTCTTTATCTCTTTCAGCATGGGCCCTGGCAAATTCTAGACGGGATTTTTGTGTGTGGGCTTTAGGAGAGGCTTCCTTCGTGAACGACACCCATGCATGCCATTCCTCTGCGGTGTACATCCTATTGTGTCATGGGAAACAGTCACCCCAGTTTGTCTTTCACCTTCTTTACCAAACTACAGTGAACTTGCATAGTGATTTTCTTCAACCCTTCTCATTAGAAGACACTTCCGTCAAGGTCATACCTGTCAAGTTTTGTATTTGAAAATAAGGGAAATTTTCCTGCACCTGTCGTGAGCCACCCCACCACCCCAACCAAGCTCCAGTATCCCTTACATTTTAAGACAGGTGTACAAGAAATCGAAAATAACCACTTGACATTTACATTTTATTTTCATTACACATTTTCTTTTAATTTCTCATGTTCACTCATGTGGCTCTCTGGCATTCACTAATGACTTATTATACAGATTTGTTGCAGACTTTGTATCCTTGTTGAAGTCGTCACAGAAGGTGAAAGTAATGTTGTTTTTGGCACACAGCATTGCCATTTAAACCTCTGCATTTATGACCTGGTTAATGTTGTAAATGACCTGCAGTCTACTGCAGGTGGCAGTTCCCACAAGGCTACTGACAGTTCAGTTTGGAGAGGCAGAGGAATATATTTTTTAAATGATATTATAATACGGGAGATTTACGGGAAAATACTAATACGGGAGGACGGCGGGAAAGAGGGGTAAAATACGGTAGTTTCCCAGCCAAAACGGGAGACTTGACAGCTATGGTCAAGGTGGTACTGTAACTTCTGTGGACGGCCTGGACATCTCTGTGAGACGATTGCGGTTCCATCTTTCTTAAATTTTTGTATCATTTTTGCTACAGTATTTTGACTGATAGGTGCAGCTTTGCTGATCTTCTTGTAGCCTTCACCTTTCTTGTGTAAAGAAATTATTGTCTTTCCCAGGTCTTGTGACTTTTCCGTTCCACGTGGTGCCATCACCGACAGCATGGAATGGGAAGGGGTTTCTTTGTTAATTAATGCCCTTTTATAGTCAAAATGCCTGTTTAATTAATAATTAGGCTCACCTGTGGTTTATATCTTGTTAATTAGAATTTTGTAGTCTAAAATTATGCTTTGCTCCTAAGACTTTCAGTGGGGTGTACTCATTTTTGCAACATGGTCTTGAATGAATTTGTTAGGACATTTACTTTTTTGTGGGAGCGAATTAACAAATTTAGTTTGCAATCAATGGCCCACATATCCTAACATATCCCACATATATCGTATAACTGGCTTTTGCTTTTAAACATCCAAAAACAGGAAGGGTCTTGGCTGGCTTCACAGCACACACTCAGTCAAGGCTCCTCTTCCCGGTCTGACCTGCCCTTACAGAAATCTGAAGTAGTCTCCAGGTTAAATCTTAACTTACTGCAATGGCCACTGGTACAGGGACTCCTCTTAGTTTGTGTCATGTATTCCTGTTGTTTAATTTGGTGAATGGAAAATAATATTTATAGTGCAGGTTCAAAAATTATTCAGGTTATAATGGTCCTTTATTATAGGAGTTTAGAGTAAATATAAATGAGGTGGTGCAGCCGCTCAGTGCTGTTGCATCCCGCTGCGGTGGTTGTAGGTTCAAATCCCATCTCTGTTTGTTGTGTAGCATGTTTTCTCCGAGTCATTATTTAGGTTGGGTTCTTCCTATTTACTGCCATAATCCATAAATACACAGTTAATTCCTAAAAAGCTCATAGCTTGTGTGTTCTGTGGTGGGTGGTACTCCATTTAGGCCCGTCCTGTGCTGCCTGCAATGGGCTCCACGTGACTCTCAGGATAAGTGTCTGGAAGATGATGGAAATTCAGAACTAATATGGTTTCTGTAATGGTCCGTCGGTTTGATAAATTGGTATGGATTTTCGCTCACAGATAAACACATAAGATTGTCTAGATGCATAAAGGATAGTGTCGTTATGGTTTGTGGTTTAGGGATGGTTTGTTCCTTCCTGTTTCTAAAAACATTTTCAGCATTTTAGTTAATGTCATATCTGCACGGGGGGAGGATTCTATAATAAATACTTTAAAATTAATAAAATACAAAATGAATATGGTAATATGAAATGGTGAGTTTGACCTCCGCAGCAGGACACGGTGGTGGCCATAGCGGTAGGGTTTTTATTGGAGGTGGGTGAGTCATGTGTTTTTCTAGGTGAATCTGCAGAACATTCTGGAAAAAGCAGCAATTGTTTTAAGTGCTGTTAGACTCCTCTGTTTTCTCCTTCTGCTGGGCATTAGTTTAGCTATCTCCTGAAAGCTTCAGTCCAGTAAACATCTGGGCCTGAGATTGTCACTGTTACTGGCCAGATTCAGCTCCAGGACACACAAATCCAGGACAGTTGCACTCGTCCTAAGAAAGGCCAGACTTTAAACCAATCACGGTGCTTTTGATCATGAAGGGGATCAAATGCCATCCACCCGTTTCCCAGATGAACTCACACAGTAGATGATCTTCCGTCCAAGGATTCCGAGGATTTGGATACATGAGGATCAACATTGATTGCAAGCCAAGGAGAAGGTGTGGAGATTATTGCATCAGCCTGACAGGCCTGATTGTTCCATGAGAATGTTGCAGGATGTCTTTTTTGGCTCTTATTTTAGAATCACTAATGACTTCAAGTCAGCCCAGGTTTCTTTTCCAGCTTGGAGAACATGTCCTTGGGTTCAAAGACAACATTTCTGGAATATGCTGAGCATGTCAACAATGCCCCTTACTGTATGTCCAGATCTTCAAATAATTCTGAGGTGTCCAGTTTCCTGTAACTGCAAAGTATGCAGAGATTTTCTGTGATAGAGTATGAAAGGTCTATGTTTAGCTAATCTTTGAGCTCCACAAAAATGTGTCACGCAAACTTGATGTAATGTACCGTTTCATTTGAGGTGAACTAATTTCAAGGAGGGAGGGATTTTATAGTTTTGTGATGCCAAATTACTCACACTAAACATAAATACCTTTCCGGAAGTATGACATTGGATTGTCCTCTCACTCTACCAACAATCTAAACAAGAAGAGTTATTCATGACTATGGCAGAAGACCATGGGCAGGACAGTGAGCAGAAGCCATGGTACAGGGGTGGGGGGTGGAGGGTGGAGTGAGATTCTTACTTGGGAGCAGGAATAGAGATGGAAGTAAAACAAAATGCCATTTGGGTGTCATCTCAAGGGAAACAAGGGAAAACAAACACGGATGCCAGGAACAGGCTTTCTGATTGGGCATCAGGGTCCGAGGAGAACGGGAGTTTTAAAAAGAGGCCAGTTCATTGGTTATTAAAATTTTATTGGTAATAAGACCCATGATAATGTGAAACAGCTTTGCAGTTAAATGCCTGTTTTTTGCAGACTAATATTTGTCAATTTGTGCCACGAACAGCTACAGCACTCACTCAGCCCACATGGATGGTTATCACTGTGGCTCCGTACGGGCAATGAGGAGTCCTGGGAAAGGGCAGGAGATTGATCAAGTGGATTAAAACAGCAAGAATCAGGGCCAGACTAGATAGGGCCCCTCAGGGCAAGGATTCCGATTGGATGTCTGAAATCCCCCACAGAAATTGCTCAGTCCATTAATAAAATGTGAACTAGATGTTACATGCCAGTCATGTACCAACTTCCAGACTCTGTTCTGATAATGGTTGGAAAAAAATAAATAATGCAATAAATAATGTGTTTTGTGCAACTGAGGGGAAAACAGTATGTGAATCAGGAGAACCCAGACTCCGGTGATCCTGGGATTGTGCAGCCTTCTCCATCTTTGCTGTCACACTCTGCAGCACTGTAGGTGAATTATTCCACCTTGGGCCTTTAATTGGCTGTTAGGCACACGCTGGGTTTTCCAGTGTGACTCTGAGTTCATGAGGTGGCTGGGGAGGAAGACAAAGTGCATGATTTTGATAATCCGCAGTTGCAACAAGGTGTGTGGGTGCAGATAAAAAGCCTGCTAATGTGCAGGTAACATGCAGTGGTCATCTAAGCCAACACCAAAATGTGTATATGTACGCATGCTTTTGTCAGTCAGTCATTTTAATAGATAAACAGCCAAACAGCACTATAGATCAGATTGGCCAGCTTTGGTCAGCTGGCTGGCATGGGATTTTCAATTTGAGACAAGTCTGCACATGCATGTACATGTACGTAACAGTTTTGTTACCTTGTATACAGTCTGTAGGGTTTGCAAACTATCCCAACACTTTTGATGTACTTAATTTTAGGTTTATAATGGAATAATATAGATTTGCCATAAGATTTCTTGCGTGACCGTGAGAGTCTGAAAGCGTGAGTGTTATGCTGGATGCATGAGGGTTGGCAACCCTGAAACAGCTCTTGAAAATCGATATGTTGAGTACAGGTTTGGACTGACCCAAGATGTACACAGAGCTCAATGATAAATATTAAATTGCATTTTATATTGTTTAACAAATGGGCAGGTTTGGAACTGTTTTCCTCTGCAGCTTTTCCTTATTGTCCTGTCTTACTTAATAGAATCTGTGTAATACACCAAATAATGCAATCTGTGGCTCCATTTAATGTTATTGGTTCGCTTTCATTAGAACTTGAATTTCTACTATGAAGCTGATGCCAAATGGGTGTTTTTATCGTCTTTAGACCAGTCACCTTAGGAGAAAATTTCAAGCTAATTTTTCATTTGATTTGATTTAGTTAGACATTACAGATATGGTAATTTCAACATAAGCGACAAAGCGTAACACCAAAGTGCTCATATTATGTAACTGATGTTGACTTGGGTGCCCCCCCCCCCACCCATTTCCCCCTCCTCCCTCTCCAGACACTTTCGCCAGTAAGGTGGCCGCCATCCAGGACCAGTATGCTGATGCCTCCATCGGCAATGTCACCGGCAGCAATGCGGTAAATGTGTTCCTGGGCATCGGTGTGGCCTGGTCCATTGCCGCCATCTACCACAACAGCAAGGGCCAATCCTTCCGCGTGGACCCGGGCACGCTGGCCTTCTCTGTCACCCTCTTCACCATCTTCGCCTTCATTTGCGTGGCCGTGCTGCTGTACCGGCGCCGGCCAGAGATTGGCGGTGAGCTGGGGGGGCCGCGGACTCCCAAGGTGCTCACCACCCTCTTGTTCTTCGGCCTGTGGCTCATCTACATCCTCTTCTCCTCCCTGGAGGCTTATTGCCACGTCAAGGGCTTCTGAAGCAGCCCCTCCCTAGGCTTTAAGGGGGCACGAGGGGTGGGTGGTAAAGTGGGTGGTCGAGCTTCACACCAGTACATGCAGAAAAGGAAAAGAAACAGCCTTCCTATCCTTTTATCCTTCTCTTTGCAACTTTAAAATCCACTTCATCTAAGCTGATGAACATTTTCAGCCATAATTTTCACCTTCTTTTGGCAAGATTGGGAATACATGCAATTCCTAATCCTGCAGCTTCACGTCAGATTAAGGAATTTTTTATATATTAGTATTGGAGGGGGACTTTACTTTACTTTACTTTTTGATAGTAAACTATGGTTGATGAGAAACCGTTACTTAACAACAATGGTACTATTAGCGTGTGTTTGTGTTGCTTCAAAATATCGGAAAAGTTTTCAAAAATAACAAAACATGTCATTTGCTTTGAATCGTTAAAAAACAGATGGCAGGCAGCCCCAAACTCAATACACAAGACGCTGTCACTGGAAAATGTGATCAATATCTATTCTGAAACCGGCAAAATCACTTTTCATTATATTCTTTGCTCAACATCTTACAATGTCTTGCTCAGTATAATTAACATGTTCCCTTTGGCGTTCTAAATCAGAATAAAATCTACATATTAAACAAGAAAAAACACGAAACAGCATAAAATATAATACTGTTTTAAAGCTTATTGTTAATAATTTTTACACTAATTTTGTGCCAATGGACAAAGAAAACTCTGCAAAGATGTCACCCGCATTGTCATGGTCAGTGTTTAGCATTTAAGTACTGTAGAATATAGGAAAACTGTATTTTACCATATTATCAACCTTAGGACTGGCTTTCCAGTAGCATGACAGCTGCCATGTGGCTGTGTTATTTAGCAGAATTGGGAAAGCGCAATTTGCAGTTACCCAGTGGAAACTGGTCTCTCTGTGGTCATCTCATACCCTTTGAAGCCACTTGATCGTCCCGCTTGAAGCCAGGGGGTTATTTGCCGTGCATTCTCTGCCCGCTGGATTTACGCTGCAATGTTCAGCATGAGCTTGTCTAGCTATCCGGCTTGGCCATGCCAGTGTGTGAAGTGCAGTGCCAACAAGAGGAAGCTTACTTTTGGCACATCCTTTGAGTGACTCAGTGCTGGGTATTACTATATTCCAGTGTTTCCCAATCCGGTCCTCATGGAACCCCTAACAGTCCACGTTTTTGCTCCTACTGAGAGCTGAGAGGGAGCAACAATGTGGACCGTCTGGGGGTCCCCTAGGACCGGGTTTGGAAACGCTATTGAACTTGTTTCTTGCATCTTGTAACATGAAGGCCAGTCATGCATTGTGTATATATTTATATATGCAATATACAATCTCATGTAGCCTTGCTGTCCACACTTATCGTATGGCGTGACTATTTGTTTATGGCAGAATCTCTGTCTACTACAAATACAACAGCAGGTTACGACAAGGTAACATTTCTGGTTGGTTTCTGGTTTGATTAAAACACTGTCATATCAAAGACAACAGCCTGAAGCTGTAACAAATGTTTGAAACACACTACACAGCAAAGTGATTTGATGGCCGCTGTACATTTACTTGATGGTTAAACTCTTTTTGACTACTGAGAAGTTGTTAGTATAGATTTCTTACTGATTTCTTTTCCATTTTATATTAAAATTCCATTTAGAAATATGTAAAATATATTCTTCACATTTCTTGTCAACCTGGCTTAAGAATACGTATACTGAAGTTTTTTTTTTTTTTATGTCATTGTAACTTTAATTTTACATCTAAACTTCTGCCAAGAGGATAATGGAATAGAGTAAAAATAAGTGGCCTAAATATTTTGCCAAAGGGTATATTTATAGTGGAAAAGGACACCGAACCAGAGCAGCCAATTGTTTTTTTTTTAACCTATTGAAGTTTATTAATAAAAGCAGTGAGTGTTTCACTGTCATTTACTTAAAAATCCTTGATTCTTGTGCAACTCTCTCGATCTTTTTACTGGAAAGAGAGTTTATGGTTTCTGTAGCTTAACTAGGCAGGTCAATAAGCATGGCCGCCGTAGTTCATCCAGCTGAGTTTGTTTTGTATCGTGTTTCTTTCCGCTTCGTCTCAGTGTATCTAACGCATACAGTTGCTTCGCTGAGGTCGATAACTGAGCCAGCTTTTCTGGCCCAAACTAAAGGGAAACACTGCACTGGTGACTGATCTGAGAGCAATGAGGGAGGACTATGCATGCTGCAGTCTTCCCCATGGCTCTGTTAAAGACTGAGGCTCGACCCTTTGAAATCAGGGCGGAGGGGCCTAACGGCAACGAGCGTGTGAAATGACAGCCTTACGGCCCACATCCATCACCATGAAGGAATCCCCCCAGCCCCCCGGCTTTGCAGCCCCTTCTCCCTCGTCGACCAGGCTATGCCCATTTTTGGGAATGTTAATGTGGTTTGTGTAAACACTGTGCATGAATGAAAACACGCCTGTATATAGACAGCAGTATCCACTTGTCACTGTCCAATGACACTCAGCTCTGTAGATGTGCCATAGATTATATGAGTGTTTTTATACCCTGAAGCGTTATATCTGAAAGTGCTCTTTTCATGTCGACTTACACATTTAAAGTTTTAAAAAGGCAATATCTGGTGGTCTTGTATTAGAAGGAAACATACCGGAACGGTTAGAGTTCGGCTGGTGTTTAGAATAAAATAATACTTTGCTTGCAGACTTAATTTTATATCAGAGTCAGAGGGAGCCATATATATCGATTGGTACTGACGTCATTTACAAACACAACTTGTATATAGTGTACAGTGCTGTCAGATTGCAATATTAGCCTCCACTATATAAATGTAGATTTCTGCATATTTATTTCAGAACCCTTGTCAATACAAGATAAACAAGTATTGCCCTTTTTCTTCGAAAAGTCCTGCCCGAGATGCTTTCTCCTTTTGCGTGTGTGTTTTATAGTAATACGTCTTTTCACTCTTGCTGACTTGCCACTGTAGGTGCAGGATAGCTGTACGTGTAAGAGTATGACCTGATGTTTAAGTAGAACAGAAGCAGCCAGCCTGCGTGCCCAGCTCCTGGTATGGGGTTGTGATTGTTTGTGACACAATTTTACTGCTGTTGGGGCCGAAACTGATGTTACAATATTAATTAACACATGTTAGGCAGCAATGACCCCAACAGAGTCCTACTGAAGCTATATGACTACTGTAACTGTAACGTAACCTATTTGCAGTTGTTCTTCGTTGATATCAGCCACACCTAAATGATGAACCCCGCACAGTGCTACACTGCAGTGTTGACAAAGATGACCTCTTCCTGGTGTGGGTTAACGTGCATTCTGACGGACGGAACGAGAAGCGGGGACAAGCAAAAATTTATTTATAAATAACACTGCATCCTGCTGCTCAGACCGACTCCTGTTGTTCAGGGTGTTTTGGTTTTTCTACTTTTTGGGGTTGGATGGGAAGGTCTGTTTCCAGACTGAGTGCTCTGTGTTATCCTGCATTGTTCTTTTAAGTTGTTTATTTTGTTTTGTTTTAATTTTTTGTCATTGTGTTGCACACAAACTGTGATTGCTATACATGGTACACTTGACACTGAAATAAAGTTTGGGATACCCTATTGCAAAAAAAAAATACAGAAGTACAAAAAAATGCCTTTGGGAGGTCTCTTTCAATAAGCAGGGAAGCAGGCCAAAGAGAAACAAACTGCGAATCAGGCAAGAGATAATATTGCTCAAATCATTTTACAGGAAATTGGAGAAGCCTATCCTTAGCACCAGGTGAATACAGCTCTCTGTAAATGGACAGTTCTGTTTCATTAGTATACATCCATTTATCCCATAATACTCATTTGGCTTTGACCTTTTATGCTAATGAGCTACAATACATGCTCTTTTGCCTGCAATAGCAGTACAACAGTAAAATTGCTGCCCCCCTGCCAAATATAGTAAGCACCGCACCACCTGTTGGCACAAATGGAGAATTACATAGAAGTAGCTGTTTTCTTATTACTAGCTTGATATGTTGCTGTTTATATGCAATAATAACTAGGTACACGTTAAGCACACGCTCCATACATCGACAGCAGTATTTCATCAGCAATTCAACACTGTTTAATAATTACCATAAAATGTAAATGAAATATGCAGCAATCTGGCAAGCAAGTCTGAAGCCAAACAAATGATAGCCAAGCACATTTCTGAATTGTTAATGAGCTAGGCAATTAAATCCAGCATTAGCATGGTTCAAACGGCTGGAAGCGAGTGGGTAATAATTATGCTGACAGTTCAGAGTGGCTTTGCTATGGGGGTTTGGTTTGCTCAGTGGGTAACACTGAGCTCTCACACCTCCAGGAATGGGCGTTTGAATCCCACTGTGTGTGTGTATTTGCATGTTCTCCTGTGCTTGTGTCTCCAAAAACATGGTGCTAATTTAATCATCTGTGCATCTTCTCACCTCTTATGTTTCCCAAAAAAATAGTTGCTAACACTGTTACAGCTGGAGAGCGAGTCAGGATAGGGCACAAGGCTGGAATACACCCTGGCCAGGACACTGGTTAAATCAGTGACCCTAAACCAGTGTTTCTCAATCTGGTTCTCGGAGACCCCAGGCGGTCCATGTTTTTGCCTTGTCAGACAGTCCCCATCCCTTGATCATTTCTGTGGATGAATATAACCAAAGATAAATTGTACCTTTAAATGCAAAAGAGATTATGTGGAAATGAGTAGAAATGTCCCAAAAATTCCAATTTAAAATGCTGGTCACAGTTATTTTATTCATTCATATCCAGTACCTTTAAGTCTTATCAGTACATTTAAAAAATAAATAAATACTAGACTTTTATTTAATTCTGTGTTGTAATTACAAAATGGTACTCATGTTTCCCAGATGCAGCTAATTCATGATTAATAGCTGACATAAATTAGCAAAACAAATTTTTAATGCCAAGCTATGAATAAACCATAGCTAGAAATATAAATAATCCTTTAATTAGAAGCTCATGTATGCACAATAAGAATTTTGCTGATCGTGTCCCTGCTTGATATGAAAAAAGAGCAATTTTTCTTTAATGCAAAGTTAAAACCTCTATAAGTAAACCCATAAAATTTTAATCCCTGACTGTAATGTTGTGCAGATTATTGCAGTGCTTCGAAACATGTATAATTGATGTGCTTTCCGTTATTGTGTCGCATGTTCCAGGGGAGAATTGACCTGTCTCCTCTAGGAAATTCAATTTGCTGCAATGGTGAAACCTGTCGGGAATTAAATTAATATTTTTTCTGGATTTCAATACGGGAACGACTCCTTTATATATAACTCTGTATATATGTTAATGTGAAATAACTGCTCAACAGTCATGTATATTAATGACGTCCTCCACTTTTTAAAATATTTTATCATTATTTCAGAACATAATACTTGTGGTTAACACTGTTGCCTCACGCCTCTGGGACCAGGGTTCCAGTCTCCATCATGGCTACTTGTGACCGGAGTTTGCATATTTCCCCCTGTGTCATTGTGGGGTTTCTTAAAGGTATTGTGGTTTCACCCCAGCTTCCAAAATCATGCTAAGGTGAACTGGAGTTACCAAATTGCGCGTAGGTGTGCATACTGTATGTGAGTGAATGGTGTGTGAGTGAATGGTGTGTGTGTGCCTTGTGATGTGTTGGTGCCCCATCCTACATTGTTTCCTGTCTTGTGCCCGTAGTCCCCGAGCTCCTGGACCCCCACTACTTTGAATAGGACAAGTGGGTACAGAAAATGGATGGAAAAACAAAAAATTCCATGCACTTATTTCAAATGTGACAGCAAATTATCTTAGTGACTCAGGAGAGTGACAGAAGTAAGAAAGTCAAAGGATTAATAAGGGCCCCTTTGTTTTGTTTTATATGCGGCCTGACACAAACTGCAAGATGTTTTTACGTACCGCACTTTATTTTGTTCATCTTGATTGTTTTGTTTGTGCTCCCTAAACCCACCCAGGGGCGCCGTGTGCTGCTAATGGATGCCGCAAAATTACATGAATGTGTAACATCCTAATTGCTTAATTGCACAGCTGAAAAAAATCAGCAGCCAACTGAAACAGGCCAAAATTGTGGGAAACAGAAAAATGCAACATGTTTTGATTGGAATCTGCCTTGTAATACGGGCCAAGATGGGAAAAAGCGCCACATAGTCTGACAGATAATAATGACACAATGAAAGGTAAGCAGCCCTCCTTTACACTGGCATTTTAAAGAAGAATGTTTTGTCTTAAACAGAGGATACTAAAATTTGGCTGTTTCTTAATGACAAATAAAACTGCAGTGACATTTCCAACATACACATTTTGGCTTTGTTTTATTTAAGACACAGTGTGTCTTGCACATGAGCCTGTCTCTACCACAGCTGAAATTTCTTTAAAAATTATAAAACCATCTAGTCTGAAAGGGGGTAATTTCCTCCTTGTTAGCTGGATTTCTTCTCCTTGTGTTTGTCGGCTTTTTCCTAGCAGCAATCAACATTGCTGTCAGAAGTCAGTCTGCTGTAACGTTTAGATGGAGATAAACACGCCTTTGGTGCTCATCCAACGAAAGTCAATCAAGGACATAAAATAAGCAATGGGGAGCATATTATACGGGTGAAGAGCCATAATCACTCCGTCATGACATTTTAAACAACAAAATGTTTTTGACTGTTTGCATCATTTTTTGCTTTTTCAAGAAAAAAACAATTGAGCAAAGCTGTATAGTGGCAATACAGGTGGCCATCGACTTTACGACTGATCGACTTTACGACCATCCTGAGACTGCAGATCTGGGGCCACAGCTGTGTCGACTGCCAAAAGCAGTGAACTAAGAAAATGGTAATAAAATTATTAAAAACACCAAACAATATGACTTAAAGCTGATATAATTTTATTATACTGTACACTATACACATGATAATTTTTGCATATAAAATAAAATAAAAGGCCGATGACCAAATCTCCGACCAGTCACTTGGAGCCGATCGTGGTCATAACTCGGCGACGACCTGTACAATGCAGACTGCGGTGAAGATGCGCATAAACATGGTAATTTAACAAGGTTATGGCCCAACAAACAAATTTGGTGTTGAGAAGATGGTCTTTGGTGTTAACCTAGCGCTTGCATTTTCTTATGGAAATTGTGCAGCTGGAGGGAAAAATAAATTGTAATAATCATAATAATGACCATCATCATTATTTAATGGTGACCCATGGAAATGCAGTAGTCCTACTAATTTCGCAGTGTGGGTAGTTCAATTTGTGAATCACACCTTGCCTTCAAAGCAGTCCTGGCTGTTACTTACCATCAGCTTGTTAGCACTATGCTAAATGAGGGCTTGGTCCTCACAGGACATTATCCAGCCCGGTTCAGAGTGGTTCTGCTTGGGGAAATGCCAGGGCTTTTTCTAAGAGGTGGCAACTTAACTAACCACCAGAGCCAATCCCTGCCCTCCATCACCAGGGCCACTCACCCCAGGACAGGGTCAGGGGTGGGCTTGGACCCCTGCAGGCAGAGGGACTCTCCATTCAGCCAATACCCCGTTCCTGCTGACGTGTCACCCTGTAGGGAGGGGACATCAATGCTGCAGGGAAGGAGGGTCACCAAAAAGTTAATAATGCATAAGTAATGCAGATATAATGTGGGCAAGGCTTTAAACGTGTTTAACCAGCCACTCGACTCGAGCGAACAGTTTGGCAGCAGGTGATGTACGGACAGCCTTTATAAACTCTGAGCTGTGGATTCAGAAAGACTTCCACTTGCTTTTACAAACAGTGCACATGATTTAGTGTTTACCTCCCAGCCGGCTCCCTGAACAAGGCCGAGATCAGGCAGCAACGCAAAGCAATCACATGCACCCTCTAGGATTTCACTGCCGCCGCTATGTGGTCGTTTATTCTCCCAGTCGGGAGCAGGAGCTGAAGGCCTCACAAACGTCAGCACGTCTGCCTCCTGCCTTGCTCCAAAACTGGCCTGTGCCAATTCACCCCATGCCCGCCAGGGGCTGTTAATCTAGTGACAGTCTGATGTCCGGTAGCTGCGAGGCTCTCTGTGAGGAGTGACTATCCCTGAAAACGTATATAGGCTGCAGAGGATAAAGAGCTTTTAAATCCATGGCTGGCTCACTCTATAGGTGACATAGGCGATCGCCTTTGGGCACTATTTCATTAGGGGGTGCAAAAGAGCGAGTGAAAAAAAATGGATGGATGGATGGATGGATGGATAGCCTTTGATAAAGCTCTGATCCTTTTTGAGGCATATAATGTGTGTTACACGCTGTGTCCATTTGATCTTATTAGCATGTGTCATACAAGGGACCTTTGAATTCCACAGTGTATTAAATGCCTTGACTTGCATAGGTTGCCTGTTCTTGTCCTTGGTGAAAACTTACTGTCATATCTCTGCACAACTTCATTAAAGAAGTTACCGACAGATCTCTATGATATGGTAAGGTGACATCACTCATGCTCCATGAACGCCTTCTTTCAGCAGCTCTTTGCCTGTGCAGTTACGCAACGGGTTGATGGATTTACGTGTCCCGCCATTTCCTGTGCTTGAATTCAGAGAACATTCCAGAAAGTCCCCGAAAACCATCACAAATACCAGCGTCTGGGGGGGGGTCACAACTCCTTTGAGCCAGCAAATCCATAATCCATCTGCCGGCATTTTAACACGGCGAGTCATGGAGGAAGCTGCGATATTTGGCCGTGTTGTGGAGGTAAGACTTCTGATGCACAGATGCATAAATCAGCCTCCCTGTCACTACGTTCATGTTCAAGTGCTGCCACCTATTGGTGTTACTGGTGCCTGTTCATCTGTTCATCACATTTGTTTGCATTCTGGCGACTGCAGGGATGGACAGTGTCTACGTTTACATGTCCTGCATGCATTTACGTCCAAATTCCACAGTAAATAATAAACATTGATGGAGAGACACCTGAAAGTGAACGCAGTCAGACGTTAGCAGGTGTATCGCTTAGTGTAACAGGTGCAGTTGAATGGGCAGCACTGCCAGCCGTATAATGACCCATTGTCATATCTAACTATAATATAATACAGTATGTTTACAGTAATGTTTATGTGATGGGCAGCTACAATAACGAGATACGACCAAATTGACTTGCGGCTGGTGGTCCTGGTCCCAAATGCGAACACAAGTCGATGTAAAGCTGTACATAGTCACCATAAACCATTTATATTCAATTATTTATCAGACTCATTTATTAATCCAAAGCAGTACACAATTGAGAAGGTTGGCTCAGCCAGTCCCTGGGGCATTTTGGGTTAAGAGCCTGGCTCAAGGGAACAATGGGATTTGAACCGACGGCCACCTGATCACAAGTCACATAAGGTACTGATAATGTCACTAAGCACCGCAATAGCATGACATATACAGCGTTGAGGAAAGAAAATTTAGCATGAAATGTTGAATATAGTTTTGGTGCAAAGTCTCCTGGTCATCCTGTTGTTGAGAAGCCACAGGGATGCGAGGAATGTCTCTGTAATGGCTGTGCTGCTCGGTGGGGCTGGGTGCCCCACAGTAATTGAGAGGAGATAAATTAGAGGAAAAAAAAAACATTGGCTTCCTTGTGTGCTGCAGGTTTTATAAACCCTAATATAAGTTAATGAGAGCTTCATGGATACTTTGTTTCTGTGAACCAGATTCTTTCTGCTTGCTAAGATAAAGGTCCACACTATCCTTTGGAGATGCTGGATGGTAGAGATGATATGAGAACCGCTTGCTCTTGTTTCCCACACATACAATGCTGCATCTTTTCCATGACTTGCAGCAACAGTGCCCCCTAGCCATGCACCTACAGCGATGCTGCCTTTGCTCTCAGTGGCAGCTTCCTGCCGCCCCCGAAATGAGGAAGGTGGCGCTGGTCCCATCGCGAGCCAGGCCGCTCGTCTCTCAGCGTGTCGCATGCTACTGCAGCCCGGAGTCCTTCAGGGGCCTTTCATGGTATCTGATGACCTGGAAATGAGCTCTGAAGCTGCCTGTGACCCCAGAGGCTATCATGAATTATTCAGCCTTGAAGGCTCCGTGCTTATCAGAGGCTGCCTGAAGTGTGTGTATGTGTCTGTCTGTGTGTGTGTATGTGTGTCTGTTTGTGGAGCTAAGTGTGTATGCATGCTTTTGGTTGTGTGTGTGTGTCTGTGTATGCATGCTTTTGGCTGTGTGTATGCATGCTTTTGGCTGTGTGTGTGTGTATGCATGCTTTTGGCTGTGTGTATGTATGTTTTTGGCTGTGTGTGTGTGTATGCATGCTTTTGGCTGTGTTTA